AAGTTAATGCTGCCAGATTACATGATAGCTGAGGTTTGATATGACATTTATCTTCAGGAGTGAGTAGACTGATAAATCATAAGTGGCATAGCCACAAGTGAGTTAGCAAGTGTTTACTCATGAGTGAAGATAAATGTCATATCAGACCATAGCCATTCTGTTTTGTATATTTACAAGTTAAGAGACTTGTTTTTTCTTCCACAATACTTTTTAAATTTAAATGAGAGGAAAAAAATACTCGGTACAGGATATATTTTCCAAATTTATTTTTGGTTTGAATTGTTTGCAGCAGCTTCTGTTTCCTATGCTTTTGTTTTTATTGCTGTATTTGGTATGTATATAAAACATGGTTTATTAGTTGAAATGCTGAAGCTTTTGGATGAGGTGCTTCTGTTGCAAAGTGTGTTTTATGTAAATCAAGTCAGGCTAATTTTTCAGCCCTTTTCGAGTAAGGGGAAGCATATCGTTGTGGTCCTATGCATCTGCATTGGCAAAGGAGCAGCTAGTTTGTTGAGGCTTGAAAATTCTTAGTGTCAAAACCTTAGCAGTGAGTTCTAATGTAATTGTCTTAAAGGATTTTTCCTTTTCATCGTTTGTAGGTACCACCTTTCCTTTTTATTTAATATCTCACGTTTACATGAGAGAAAGAGAACAGAAGTTATCAAACTGTATGCTTGGACCCATTTTATGTGCTTTGGCTGAATTCTTTCTGAACCTGTATTTGTTGGTCATTCATGTTGTTAATTATTGGTCTGTGTTAACACCGGGAATATGTTCTTTTTCCTGTAATAACATATATGATAGAAGATTCACACTGGTCTTGGTATGATCATCACCTTTTTGCTTAAGACTGGAACCAGGGAGCACTATTATTTTATTCTCATATACTTATTGAATCTTAAGCTTTTCAAAGAAGGGTCTTAGGGAAAATGGGTATTTTGACTGTCACTGCTTTGTTATTCTGATTCTCCGTAATGTGACTGTTAAATACCCTCTTTTCATCTTCACAAATCTGCTTGTTGTATGGAAGCACCTTTGTACAGACAGTGTGAAAATAAAGTGAAGCTTAAGAAATGGACAGGGTGGTGGTCTGTTGAAGCATTCAGGGAGTGAGCAGAAGGGACGTGTCTGGAGGGAGCAGACTGGTAATGCATCAAAGTGAGCTTCATTAGTGGAGTGGAGAGAACATGGTTAAGGGGAGAAGTGGGAGGATGAAATAAAGGAGAGTACTTTCCTTATTGTGAAAAATGTGCATGCTGTTTTGTAGAGAAATGTTATTTTATAGAAAAAAAGGAAGTTAACTTTAAGCATAGTGTACTTGGAGAAGAAGTAATGGAGAAGAAGTAATGCTATGATTTTCCTTCGTCAATACATTCCTTGAAGAGCTCCAAAGTACAGCAGCCTAGGAGTTGATTCTTCAACTTTTGCCTGGTAGACTGATGAGGAGTAAGTTGGTCTGTCACAATGTTTGTTGACCTAGCACTACTTTGATCATAGTTTTGTTTGTGATTTTGCTGTTTTGCAAAGTCGTTATTGAACTCCAGACAATGGCTATGTCATATTAAATCTTTTAGGTTTTCTGTGCCTTTGTTGTTATTGCTTGGCTGTTGAGCTTCCTATCTTCAGTGGTGGAAATAGTGAAAATGGCTTCCCTTCTTTTTAGTGGAGAGGGAATGATGAACTGTTTCCATGGACTTCAAAGACTGATTTATGTTCTGTCTTGTCACTTTTCTTATTTAGCACTTTTATAAAACCATTACTGTTATTATCATGGAGGTAGTAGGAGAATCATGTAGGAAAGGACCTTTGGAGGTTTCTGGCTCAACTTCCTGCTCAAAACAGGTCCAGTTACAGTGTGTTTGACCACCCTCCTAGTAATTTTTTTTTCTTACATTGAGTTGAAATTTCTGATGTTCCAACTTGTGTCCATTGCATCATGTCCGTCCACTGTGCACCTCTGAGAAGAGTCTGGATCCCTCTTCTCTACATCTTCCCAATAGGTAGTTGCAGACAGCGATAAGATCTCCCCTTAAAGTTTTCTTAGGGCTTAAGTAATGTCTGTTAACCTCAGTCTACTAAAAGCATCCACTTCTGTATCTTTTTTTTTTTTTTATCGGTCTGGGTTAGTAAATTGGTGCTTAGGAACTGGTGTTAGGATTCAGACTGAATAGGTTACAGCGCATTAGCTGGGCAACAGTCATTATTCATATTTTTAGGCTGTGAGAAATGTAAAATAATTTTGGTTAATTTAACCATTTCCCATTGGGACTAGCCTGTTACCAGTACTTGCTGATTGTCTGCATTTTCCAGACCAGGTTAAAGACTTAATGGTAATGTTTATACTGTGAGGAAGATAGACAAGAGAATTAGAGCAGTTTAAATCAGTTTAATTGATGAAGAGTAATTTAGGTTGTTAGTCAATTTTGCCATGGCATCATTTGCTTCTGATTCGTCAGCTTCTACTATGTCCTTTATTTTCGTCTGGAAAGAGGTTTGTACCTTCTGTTTCAAAGACAAATTGCTGCTGTTTGTTCCTTGATCACTTCCAGATTTGAAGATTTGAAGTCTGTATTGAAAGAACCTTGAAACTATTTAGAAACTGAAATCTAAGTTGGTGTAAATTGTTGCTCTGAGTTGGATTGTAGTTTTTACTTTTGGAAAGTATATACTTGTTGTTGATCAGATTCTGTATGGAATTTAAGATGTCGATTTTGATCTTTTTCTTCACTTTCAGCCCTTATATATATGTTGAGATTTTAGTTTGGTACTTGTTAAGGAATGTTTTTCAGATCTATTTGATAGTAAAGAAAACATTGCCATTATTTATGTCTTCTAAAATGATTAAATGCTGCCCTATCTTTAGTGATGTTACTGACCCACTTTTTTAGGACATCCACAGGAAAATGCTGATCAGGTGAAACAGAATCTGATCCTGAACTCAAGAAATGTTTAGCTTAGTTGTTAGCTTTGCAGTGGAATAACCTAATCACAGGAGATAAGTATAGTAGCAGATAGTAGTTCCATGCACAGGTCACGCACATCTCCCTTTTCGGCCTGACTTTCGTCCAGTTTAGGTGTGGCTGCTTCTCATCACTATAGTTTGGAAGCTCATCCAATGACAACTTTCCCCCTCTCTTTAATGTCAATGCAGCCTTTTTTGGCTGTGGACTGTTCTGTTTCCTTACTTACTAAAATACACTTTATTTACGTGTAAATTGTTTTCTGTGCATCAAAATGCAGTCAAATTCAACTTTCTCCCTCTTTTTCACTTATCTCACCTATAGTTCTTTCCTGTTTTTAAGCGTGATAGCTATTTTATTCTTATGTTGTCGGGGTGTCTCTATTTACTTCAAGTAAATACTTTGCATCAAGTCTTTCTGCCTTGATGAAGTAAATTTATATCCATTTACTCAATTTCTGTGCTTAGTACAAACATTACATTTTCCTTTGGTGTCCGTAGTTGAAACTGAATCCTGAACCCTTTTTCTCCTCCCCCCGCCCCCGTCCCCTTTTCTCTTTCTGCAAGGTAGCTATGGCTAATGATTGTGGTAATGGTTCTGGATGGTAAACCTCCACAGGCTTATTATCATCTCACAACTTTTAATATTTTAGCATGCATAGGATGCAATTTCTGAACTTCAAAATGGCCATGCTTGTTTTTTTTCCCCCTAGCCTGCATTACTACATTAGTTCCCTCAGTATTCTTTTTTTCTTGTTTATGGTTTTACCCCTGTTCCTTCTGCATGATTTGAGAATCCTTGATTTCTTCTGATAGAAATTAGGGAACAGATCAGAAATCGTTCTTCTTTCTCTACTTTTTCATATCATTTGAAAATATTGTTTCACCTTTCCTTTTCTCCAAAGTCAGAGATTTGGCCTTACATTATTCAGCTAGATATATTCCTGGATACAGTATGTAAGAATGATGCAGACTAGGGCCAAATAAAGTGCAATACTGCCTGTTTGCTTCATGTAGCATATTCAGTTAGATTGTAGTGTGTCACATTGTATTCCAGGAGATAATAATGAATTTTGTGGATGTGAGAAAGAGGTCTATCATTCAAAGACAGTAGACACATTACGCAATGGGAGTAACATAGGTACAACTGTGATGAGTACATGACTCTTGGGGTTTTCTGGACTATGAGTTGTGGTTGTAATCTTATTTTGTAATCTTATTTTCAGCTATTTGTCTGTGTTTACATGTTTTTAAAGTTTATTCATGGATTTTTTTCCAGCTCTGCAAAGTCAACGTGGTTTTTTTGAATCTTATGTTCATTACACTGGTGCCTACCTTTTTCCTTATTTCATGAACATATGTTTTGCTGCCAATTAAACGTGAGCCTTGCAGGTTTTCTTTTTGATTTAATTTATTTATGGGTCAAATTCTAAGATTCTTACCCAATTTCAGTTTTGGATAAGGATCTCAGAATTTGGTTCAGTATTAAGTGAAACCATGAAAATACCCAGTTAACATTTAAAAGATGAACAGTACATAACCACTACAAAACATTCTGTTTTTCATTCTGTGTATATCTGACTTGGGAACCCATAATATTTTGGATTTTACTTTTAGTATATATTTTCTTTAAAGAGCCTAGATGTAACATATAATGAAAGGCCTAAGAGTTGTAGGTGGATACCAGTAAAATTAGTGCAGCATTTTCTTCCACAAAAATGCTTTCTTTCCTAGTAAAATTTCTGAAGACAGCAGTCTGAACTTTGATATTTACCTCACTTATTTAAAATATTTTTTGATGAAGGTTGTGACATAGGACATTTGTGTCAAATATTTGATTTTTTTAAAGTATGGCAACAAAATATGTATATATGCACACACACACAACCGCATGCATTACATAAATATGACTTTTGTCACTAGCTGGTTGTGCTTTAGAGATCCATATGCTTATATCAGTAATTGCAGGTATTAGTATATTTACGTTGTGTGTGTTTGTGTATAAAGAATATAATATAAGTATACTTTTTTTCAATAATAGCAGATTATCCAGTCAACATCTGCTCAAACTGTGAAACGAAACCCTGCTTGCCAGACTACCCAGATTAGGATGCCAGTGGTAATAACTCAGACCATTAGACCACAAGGTATGGGTTTAAATATTTTAGTGAGATTGTTGCCTTTGTATGAATTTTATTGTAATTGCAAACTAGTAGCATGGGGAAGATCTTACAGTGTTGACATTGGCAGACTTGACGTTTATTTTTTACTTCTTACTGGCTGAGAATGCATGTTTTCACTATGCAGTTTCACCGTATTTTGAACAAACACAGTTAACTTTTGAAACTACTCGTGACAAAATTCTCACAAGGTTAGTTCCTTACTCAGCAGTGTTTCATGGAGAGTTCTGAAAGAAGTCAGGAACCTGACTCACTGTTCTAAACTTGTAACTCTGGGCCAAGAAAGAAATACTTCATTTTTTGGTGAAGCCTAGAGAATGTCTCAATTTAATCATCCTGGTTTAGCTCTTACCCCTGAAGCCGGACATGATAGTCACTGTCTCGCCATCTGTGGAGGTCAAGGTAGGACTTACAGAGAAACTTTTCAACCCGCGTGCCCTTTTCTTGTCACTGTGTTTATTTACTCTTTGGTGATGTCAGAGACTGACAGCAACATAACATGGCGTTATTAGCCGGGGAATCAAGAGTGTAGTATTATACGTGACTGACCCATCTGTGTGAGCATGGATGGATTAATATTTGACTGCTGCATCCCACTCTTTAAGAGGGTTCTTGAAGCCTTCTTTCTTTCTTAAATACCTATGTGTTTCTTTCCACCACTAAGTCTGTTAGCCTTCTCTCAGGATGTGGGCTTTTAGATAATTGAGGGTTTGTAATGGAATACAGAGCTAATCATCTTCAGATATTAGATCTGAAATCAAATTAATTTAAATGCATATGCAAGCTGTTGCTGCCTGTATGACTTTATTGCTTGGTCTTTTTCCTTCTTCTTGGTTAAAGAAGGGGTAAAAATCCAGTGATCACAGTTAGTAGCAGTTGATGTTCTACTTGGTCTGTTCTCTTCAGAGACTGCAAAAGCTGAATGGACAGAGACCAAGCTATCATTGTAATCCTATAGATTGTTTTTTTCCAGGTTAGGAAGAAATGCATTTAATTGTCATGAAAGGTGTACATAGTACTGACACTCATGTCCTGAACTGATTAACGGGAAAGATATTCTCTGTCTTACAGTGTGAACTTTCACTTTTGACCAATGTGTCTGACTATGAAGGCTGATTTCATTTCTGTGCTTGTGGAGTAGTGTGTCTCTAAGCCATGGATGTCAACAGTGTGCCAAGGATTTGCATGACATTGGCATCTGTCATTTAAATAGTTGTTTAAGAACACAGATTTGTGTGTGAAGGCCATTGATCAGCCATAGAGATAGTAGCAAGTTAACTGACTGTTTAAGGAGTACAACTTAGCTTTTATATAGAGCTGTACACAGATGGCATTCATAAAAGCCGATTCATGCAAAGCCTTGCATTCAGGTGAGCTTATTCCTGTTTACAAGCTTGTTTAAGCCCACCATGATATTGTTTTAAGTACACAGACAAAGTCAGCGATCAGAATGGAAATTTAGAAAATGCCCCACTGTAAAACTATTTATTCGGCATCCCATGTGTGGAAAAGTGTCTGCCTGTGTGTTTGCAGCTCTAAGAAATGCCACCATGGCATACTATCAGACACCAGTACAACTTGACCTTGATGTATTGTTAAAACTTTCTACTGTGAACACCAGTAAACTGGTGTTACATACCAGCCTAGCCATGTAGAAGGAAGTAGGATACTGGAATAGGACATGGTCTATGTAGAAAATGATGGTAGTATAATTGTGTGGAGTATGGCTTCTTAAGGATAGTTATGCCAGAATTGAGCTGGCTTCCACAGAATGGTGCATTTTCCTTCTTAGACTGGAGTAGCTCTCCTAGTGTTATGCTTCTGTTACATTAATATTAATGCATCCATATGAACAGATTACAGTGCTTTTAAAAACACTAGCATAGATAGTGTAGGCAGGCTCTAAGAACTTTTACACTAGTATGATTGTATCCACACCAGGGGAAGTAACTTTATAATTATTTCAGGAAAAATTCATACTTCTTTATCAAGGCAGTTATCAGTGTAATAATTCTGTTAATCACATCTTATGGATGGGGGAATTGAGCTGAAGGGTGAAGTTATTAAGCAGAGCATTCATTGCAGCTATCTAACCCATGCAGAAATGAAACTAGGAACTTAGCAACCTCTAAATTTGGACTTGTTTCTCTAGATCATGCTGATTGAAATCTGAAGCAAGGACCCAGTGGTGAAAGACTCTGTATGTCATTACCAATCCCATGAAATATCTAGGCCCACAGATGATTTTAATTTTCAAAGTATGCCCTGCCTCATAGTATAAATTTGTGTTTAGCCATATTTGTATCTAACTGCGTAATTGTGCACAATTGTGATTTAAACCAAAAAGCTGGTATGTCATCCCAAAACTTGATATCCTTTGCAAGATCCACTTAAGTAGCATTACCTATACAGGCGGTGAAAGAAAGTGAGACTAATTTTTTCTATGTCCAGTGTAGACTTACTGTTTTCCTGACACTAAAAAATTAACTACTGTTTTGCTGTGCCTTTTGGATATTTTTTAGATCAGAAGTTAGCATCTGTAGGATACAAACCATTGATGTTAATTCTAAAGGAATATAGTATTAGTTCTGGAGGAATGCTGCTATCTGCCTTTCTTTAGCCATTGTAATAATTTTTGTGGCTAATCCATTTTCAATCTCCTAAATGTAAATTGATGTGTTAATTTTTATTATTGTATTAATCATCTACCCTTCCGACTCACTTAGTAGAAAAGCTTTTGATTGCTTCATCTACAACAGATAAATGATTGGACTGGACTAATGCTATTCGGGACATTTCATGTACCTTGAATATTCTGATGACAAAATACTTGTTCCCCATGCTTAGAGTTTGAAGTCCTAAATCTTGTTTTTTGGTTCACTAATGTTGAGGGTCCATGCAACAGTTTCTTTAAACAGAATGAAGAACTGAACAAAGCCTGTTAAGTTATTCTTGCTTTGAGAGCATGGGACGAGGTTGATGAAGACTTCAAAATAAAAAAAGGCGTGCTGGATTCATTCAAGGCTAACACTTTTTTTTTTCCCCCCGAGCAAAGAAGTGTTATTAAAAGGATTTGCTAGCTCAGATAATTGTGTTTTAGATTTTTGGAGTACATGAAAGAAAAATAGCTTAACTCTACTAAGGTTTGTAACATGACCATATGGCTTATAGAAATGAGCCATAAACATGCAAGAATAACTCCATGTACTTTTAAAAGTGTCTCAAGCACTATATGTATGAGACTCTCAATAATATTAATTGAGAGATATATAAGAAAAAAGTGAGAACTTTTAAGTGAAATATTAATTATGTTTTAATTTTCACATACCAAAAGATAGGTGGGGTTTAAAGGAAACAGACAAAACACAACCCAAGTAAACATATTCTTAAAATATGTAAGCGGTAAAGGATGACTTAATCCAAAAGTCTTTTGTCAATATTTTTCGAGTCCAACACTAATATACTGTTTTCTGATAATGATAACAGCCCAGGTCTGTTGATTTACTGATTAGCAGCAGTAATCACTTTTGCTTAGATTATCCAAATGTCTGATAGGAATTAAATAGCCTTTCTTTTTTTTTATTGATTTACTTTCACAAGAAGTTGAAGGCTTAACGCATTTAGGCTCATTTAGATATCCCAGTTTTTACTTATGCATGTAGGTTTGTAAAGTCCATATACAGACATAAATTACTTTCAGAACAAGAAGGTAAAAGACAACGTTTAAGAGGAGGTTATTTAAATTTTTACAGTAATATATTTTCCTTTGTATACATTATACAACAGTAAAAAATACTTAAAATAATGTTTTAAACTCTGAAAATACATGCATTTCACTGCAACAATGAATGAATATGTAAGAAAATATAAAAGACACAGTTAATATCACAGTACCTTGAGTGACTTAAAACATCTGTATGAAGAACACTTCAAATTCTGTTTCTATATGCTGTCCAGATCACATAGAAGAGTGGTTTACTGGCAATTGCAAACACATTTATAGCCATTATGTGTACTATAGCCAGCTATGGCCAGTGGTTTTCAGTTTTAGAATCTTCTGTATTTTGTAAATATTGAACAAACTGTAATGTAAATACAATTTTTATATTGTAAATTGTTCTTCTTCAGCAGTGTAATCTTTAAAAGTAATAACTTCCTTTTGTTTGCAATTTACAGACAGTTAAATTTAGTTCCTGGACAGAAGGTTCTTTGATGTAAATTGTCTAAGACAGCTCATAATAACATTGCTTGGTGTTTTTCAGGCACAGTAGGGAAGGCACCAACAATACAAGCCAGCAAAAGTCCTGGGGGCTTTGGTGTTCAGGTCTCTGCAAATCAGAAAAACAAGCTGAATGACCCTGGAGGTGGAAAAAAAAAAAAAAAAAAAAGAAGGGCAGAGGGTTGGGGGGGAGGAGAGCTTAAATATAAAATAGAACTTAGAATAGGCTTAACACCAGAGGGCAGTATTTTACAATAATTCCTGTTTTTTCTCACTTTGATTGGATAACAATTTTCTTATTTAGTTCTATTAAAAAGAAAAAGGGGGGGGGAACATTTCTTGAAGATTTTTCTCTACGTGCAGTTTTGAATGTTTAGTAAAGCCTTCACTTCTGTGCAATCTGATAAAGCTTCTAGTAAATGAGATTCTATATATTGAATGTTAATAAATACATAGATGTTTCTATGCATCAGATAATAGCATTCATATGGAACGTATCTTGCTGAGACGATACTAATTGTAATGACAGGGCAGAGTGAAAGATAGGCTTCTGTAGTTAAGCTGCAGCTATCCTCTAGGCTGATGAGAGAAAATACTGTTTTGGTGGTGGGTGGGTTTTGTTTTATTTTGGGTTTTTTTTTGGTTTTACTTTTAGAGAAGAGAGGATCTCCATTGCTTAATGTGTTCTTCATGGGGTTACTTAGGCAGCAGAGGTTGGGGCAGTCTTTGGGTTTCTGTAGTGGCCAGGTACTGCAAAGGTTCAACCCGGTAGCATTGATGTATTGAGCTGCTGTATCAATTCTTTTGTGCTCAAAACTTTTATTGACATAATTTTTTTTATATATTTTGAACATTTTTACTATTTTTAGTCAAAAGCTAATCTTATATTTATTACATTTTATTTTTCCTACCTTCTTTTAAGGTAGGAAATGTAAACACATGATGTAAGTACATTTTATTTGTATTTAAGCATTTTCTTTTTCTTCCTGTTACTTTGTTAAATGACAGTGTGTTCCTAGATTTTCATATTCTTCTGGAATTCTTAGTTTGTCTGACATCGTCAAACCAGTAATTTATTGACAGGCTTAGATTCTTGTAGGTGAAGTGAAAGAGAATTTTTAGCTCTTTGTGAAAAATATCTGCTTTGAGGCATATCAGTATTGCAACTAATAGTGGCAGTACTTAGTATTAATCTAGAAGCATAATCACTCAATTTTTTATTTTCCAGTGCTTTTGCCTCCCACTGAGTATTTAAATGATTTAAAATGTCTGTTGGGTTCAATTGTACTGTCTTAATAAGTATTTTTTATGTTTGTAAGCAACATGAGCATTTATTCTTTGTTAGTATAGCTTTCAATTTTACATACACCAAAAGGGACAGAATTGTTTTCAACTGAATGTTGTAAACTGTGCCAGGATTGATTCTTGCATTCACTTAGTTTATACATAGAATATATTAGGTTAGTTGGAATTGTTAATTTTCCCTTGGGGAGAAGCAAATGCTCAAGGCACTGATTGATAAATCAATAAATCTTTAGTGAGTTTGGTAAATAAGCTGTCAAGGGTGTATGTCATTTTTCCTCTAGAGAACAAATTTTAGTCAGAATGAATGTGTTTGTTTCCTTGCATTGTTTTCTCCTTCCAAATAGTAAGACACAATGCTGCATTTAAATAAGTCCATAAAATTGCAAGGATTTATTAAACAACAGAAAGATCAAGCTTTTCTTGATATCTTAACAAAGAATTCAGTTGTTTGCATATTTGCATTTCAACCCCTAACCTCTCCTGAGGACAAATAGATGTCTGACTATTAAGCCTAAAGGCACAGAGCTGGAAATCTGTATTAATCCTCTGAATGCTGACTAGCTTTCCTCAACATTCCCAGCGTGTGTGAAGAATGTGTTTTTAGCCAGAAGGCAAACTGGCATCTAAAGCAGAGCAAGAATTTTGAAAAATAGTTGTGTTATGTATAAATTTATTTTGCCCTTAGTGTTTTATTATTGCATATTTATTTCATTATTTTATACTCTATTTTTTAAAAAATAACTTACTTTAGCTTTTCACTATTGTGGGCAAAGTGTTGGTCACTAGAAATGCAAATGTGAACTTTATTTTTTCAGTTTCTTTCTCTAATAATACACATTCTTAAATCTGTGGGGCTCTGGGAAACGTAGGAAAGAATTACATGAGAGAAATCTAGCAGTGAGGAGTTTCACGAATAGTAGCCTAGCCTTTAATGTCAGCGTTAATTACTGAACTACGAGACTGCCTACCTGGGTTCACAGGATATTATGGTAGCAGTTCTATGACATAAAGTTTTGAACCCTGGCACTTCCGCAACGTAGAAATGATGTATTCCTGAAATTTTATTTTGGGATTAAAAATTCTTGTGGCTGAATTTTTCAGGGGAAACTACAGACCATCCCATTTAGTTGACCTTTCAACTAAGTTACTAGCAAAGAATGGAAATAAGATTTCCTTTCTTTGTAATATTTTTGTTTTACAGTAGAGATCCAGACTTCTATTTGCACCATAATATTAACAGTATAGTCCAGCTGGTGCTTTCTGTAGCAAGTGGAGATGTAACAGAAGGTCTTTGAAGTCCTTTAGGGGCCTGCATATTTGGCTGTAACTGTTGTATATACATCACCATCTAATTCAGTAACTCAAAGCTCCCACTAGAGTAATCTGTCATTGACAGCTATGAGAACATCAAACTCTCAAAGTATTTATTATCCATAATTCAGATTGTGGCCACTATGAGGAATTTCCCTCCTGACATAAGGTTGTAGAATAATTTCAGTTGGAAAGGACCTTGGGAGGTTATCTAGTCCAATGTCTGACTTGGAGCAGGTGCCATAGGCTCAGGGACTTGTCCAGTTTTGAATATCTCCAAGAACAGAGATACATGTTTGTGTTCTTGTATTATCCCACCACTTTCTAATTGTATTGAGTAAGACCAAGTGACGTTGCCTGTAGATGTGTAAAGTGGGGCGAGAAGTGGGGACAGAACCATCCTCTTTAATGTGTGTGGTGATGAGATGTTTGACATAGTGTAGCAGTTAGCCAGATGCTCCTGCATTTTCATTGGGGCTTTCTTGTTCTAAAGTGGTATTTCAAAGGTATATGCAATGGCTTGGAGCCTGTCAATATCAAGTTGTACATAGCCAGTGTGATGGGAGTTTTTGCAGACTCTGTGTCTACGAAGTGAGTGACTACGAATATTTGAAACTTATTTTAATATTCGTATTTTATGCTGCTGACATGCACTGTTTTAAAGTAGAGTTTACCTGGGGACAAACAACAACTAACTCTTTCTCTGTTTGCAGACTTCTGTGCTAGACTATCCAAAAGACCGTACGTTCTGAATTTGCTATCTTTTATTCATCTTTTTAACATAAAAGGGTAATAACATAATTCTGGCAAAATGCCTAAAATTGGATGCTGTTATGTGTCAATAACATGAAAAACGCCCTGCCCTTTGGGAAAGATAGAAAGCTGATGTAGATGTTGAATGGATAACTTTAAAGTTCTAATCTCAAAATTGTATATGATTTTAAACCCCAAGCCTTAAATTTCAGTTTCTGTGTTTTTCCAAATAGGTATTTTAAACTCTAAGATAAGCATGAACTTCTTCCATATTTTGCAAAATAAAGAAAAATGTTGAATACGAATGTGGTGTCTTCTGTCACCCCTTTTTTGCTCACTTTTATTAGTGGTCAGATCCCATATAGACTTTGTGAATGAGTAGTATGACAAAGCAGTATTAGGCAGAAACCTTGAAACTAAACCTTTGAAAATAAGAATAAGCATTCTAATGAATTTACATAAACAGAATGGATGTAATGCAATATTGACTGTTACAGTCATTTCAAGTAACAATTTATAAGCAAAATACTGTAGATGTTCTCTGATCTTGTGATCCACAGAATTCATAGCCTTGCTTAGCGTCTTGCATATGTGCAGTGACTTTGCCATAATAACTTGTAAGTTCACCTTTGACAGATAGGGGAATCAATATCATAATGCTATCTCTATCAGCCTACTGATAGAGTGTGTTTAATGCCAGTGTATGTCATCTGGTCCTGTACAGAAAGTAATAATATTCTTCTGTCAGCATGTGTTCTTGCAGCTCAGCTTGCAGCAGTTCAGCATTGCAGATTTAAATATCATGGGTTCAAATCTTGTAAAGAGCCTGAGGGGGAAAAAAAAATAGCATGCAAGCATGCAGTTTATGGATTTTTGTTCTAGAGAGGTGCGTAAAGTTTCCTTTACTTGTTGTAGTTTTCCTTCACTTGTAGTTTTCAGAATGGCTTGTCTTGGTTTAAACAAAATCTTTGAGGCATGTTATGGACAACTGCAAATACCTTATTTTTTCCTTTCTGAATGTTTTTTTTGAAGTAAGTGGTTTTTGTAGTTGCACAAATGTTTTTAATTAAGAAGAAAGGGGGAGGAGGTGTTGTAAGAGGTTGAATGTAAGAGGAAGAATGAACCGTTAGACTGTATGTTAAGATGTATCTTGCATTTGGAAACAGTTTGAGCACACATGTTCTCTTCTTATAAATATTATGCATATTGGGAGGTTGGATTTATGCCATAAGATTCAGTATTTAATACAGTAAAAATAGAAATAATTACTAAGACAGCATAATTAGAACGAACACAGTAATATATATACACAAAGAAACATAAAATAGTTAAGCACAATGTGCTCGGATGAAAAGGGGAAGACAGTTGGTAATCATCAATCTAACCTACCACTGGATGGCATCTTTGTTCCACAGAACGACTTGTAAAAACTCACTGATCTGGAGTTAAAAGTTGACTTTTATAGGAAATTGTTTGGCAAGGGTGCCAGGCCCTTTTATATAAAAATCTGTGCCTGTGTTTCGGGATCCAAAGCCACCCTCTTTTCCATATTGCGGGTCTTTGAAGCGAAAAAGGATATCTTCATAGAGATGTTACCATTAGACTGGAAAATCTGTAATCCCAGCTATGATTTAAAATATTTCATATCCCTCTTCCCTGTAACTTCAAGAAAAAAAATAGATGCACCCACAGATTATAAATTGCTGATGTAAGATGGAAGGAAGTTATTCTGTCCAAGACTTAGAGCGATGATCTTATTTTTAAATGCTGTTGCATTGATTTTGATAATTTCATTAAAATTCTGTTTTGTGCCCAGAGAAAAAATGCATGCTTTACTGTAGGTGACTTTTGTTTATATATAACATACAGTCACAGATCTGTACTCTCCTGCCTCCTCCCCAAAAAGCTAAAATGCTGAGCAGAAGAAAGATAAAAGACTGATTGTACTTTCTTCAGCTACTAACTAAAAGTACAAACTTTTGTTAAAATTTGCATCGATTTCTTTGTACTTTTTATGTGTAATTCATTTATTAGCAAAGTTTGTTAAAAAACAAAATATTCAAAGAAGCGGATTAGCTCACGGTGACTTTAGAAAGAGGAATAAAATAGTATTTAAGTTCATGTGGCAAGATATCAGTTACTTTAATGAACATGGAATAATGACTTTCTGTAGCTCTGTGTGATAGTACTTTTAAAGGAGTTTATTGGTGGGAGAAATATAACCATGATGGTTAGTAAGAAAAAGATTTCATCATCGATATAGTGATGAGCAGTACTGTACTTTTAGGCTATGAGACATGGCTGTAAAAATCATTTAAGTGTGAGCATGGAATTGTTTGATGAAACTATTCTTTTTAGGTATATGTAGGGCTTCTCTTTAAATGTATTGGTACTTAAAATAGACTTCAAAAACTTCTAAATTTTTAATTTTGTTGTTAGAATAGTTTCAGAAGAATCCTGCAGAGAAACACTGGTTTATTTCCAAACATATCCTCTGTTTATATGAAAAAACATTTTTATCTATTACTAAAACTTGTATCAGTTCCTGCCACTCTAATACTGCATGCCACAAAAAAAAAGTTTCTAAGGAGGATCAAAATAATAAAAATACATTGTTCTGTGAAGAGGGAGATTTCTTGTTGTTTTGTGGCATTTCAGACGTTTCAATCGATTGTTGAGTTATAATAACTCCATAGAATAGCCTAATTTGGGAGCAATATTTGATCCTTTTTACAGTTGACTGTTGTTAGTGATTGTTTAGAGAACAGAAACACATTTCATTCGTTCTTATTAAGTCCTCTGGCTTTCAAGGGAACATTGATAATCCCTATTTGTTTATATGCATTTATTTATCAAACCTTGCAGTTGTATTCGTTATCTGATTTTAAATTCTAAGTGGGGTTTTTCAGCGCTGCTCTTTGAGCTGAAACATTTGTCCTCAGTTTTTAAATCACTGAGAGAGGTTTTCTGGCTTATGTAGATTCCAGAAAAAAGGCCTATCAGATGGCAAGTTTGGGGAGAAGTGAAGAATCCTATCTTGTTTTTTGTATGAGTGGTTGCTTGATGGAGGTGAAAATACCTCAGTGTGCAGATCCTGGCAACCCAATCTGGAAACAGGGAAGGGAAAATTTATTACTTATTGCTAGTCAAATTGTGCATAACTGTGTTATAAATGCTTGCTAAATCAAATGAGGTCATGGTGACTGTACTTGGAGAAGAGCACAAACCCACCTGCTCAGTTAATTTTTTTTACCAAGATCCTTTGAGAAGTTCTGCTCAGGTGCCCTCAACAGGAAGGAGTGCACAGGCTTTCGTGCTGCCGCGCTGGTTAGATTACCTGGGATGATACTAGTTCAATTTCAAGCATTAAGTTTTATAACCTAAAAAACTTCTATTCTTCACATTTTTTCAATTTTAGTTACTGTTTTTCAATTGTAGTTAGAATCTTTTGAACCTGCTACTAAATATTTAAATCAGCCCCTGTTGTTATGTGGCCAGATGCATTTATCAACTGTCATTTTGGGTCCATTTCCACTACTGATTGGACAAGGTCGAAAGGTAGCTTGGTCATCTATGCACTGAAGTAGCCCAGTTTCTTCATGAAAGCTCACGTGACCCTCCTAAGAGTATTGTGTGTGTGCGATGTGAAGTGTAAAAACGAAAGTTCTTTAAACCTGGCAGGGGAGAAGATCAGTTGTGTGACGCCATCCTCAGGAACTTCATTGCTAGAGAAGAAATCAAGTGACTGCACTGTTGCTGTATTCTCCAGTCTGGTCACTAGCGCTCATGAAAAATAATAAAAGCTCATTTGTATAGGAGACTGGACTTTTTCTGACAGTCAGCGTAAAACTTGCCATCTTCTGCCTGAAGCATTCAGCACATTTCTCCAGGGTAATACAGACCAAAAGCCTTTTTAACTCTGTAACCCTCTTGTGAAAGAAATCAAAACGCATATCTAACAAACCACAGAAGTCTTCCACCAAAATAGGATACTCTACGGCACATACCAAGGAGAGTATGAGAGGACAGGGAGGACCTAGATTACTGATTTCTAGATTTCTCTCTCTTCTGCTCTTTTGCTCCCACACTGTGCTTGTAGCTTTGTTTTTTTACTGTAGGTCTTAAACTTGTTATAAGGTGATAGAAAGTATCCCAGGGTGCATAGGAAGGCATATATGTAATAACCTTTTTTGTATATCTTTTAAATAAGCTTTTATTATATTGTTTTATGCAGTAGTGAGAGTCCAGATTTTGATCTTTGCGGATCTTTTCCATGCATATATTCCTAAAGGTTATGTAATGCCTCCTAGAATATGCTGAAATGCAATGTTTGTGTCAGTAATATCTACTAACCAGAATGTGTTAAGAACAGATGGTTGTTTCCATGGTTATGAGTCATACCTAACAGAAGTAGGAGATAAGAGATGCTTAGGAGATACAGGTATGATCTATCTTCTGAAACTGGAAGTTGTCAATCCAGTGCTTTTCTTAAGCTATTAGGAAGGGTATTGCAGGGCAAACAGTAGCTTGGGAAATGCTGCTATCATCTTCTCAAATGCAACTTATTTTCCTAAAACTATTTGGCCTGCTCAACTGATTTTTATATGTTGCCAAAGAAAACACCAGTGTATATTCAAACCACATTTACGAACTAAGCTTACCTATGAACTCCTCAGGTCAAAAAATCTTCCTGACTATTGCTGAAAATGCTTTTGTGCTCCTTTTGAAAGGAACTTGTGAAATAATGAGAGAGTCCAAATTCATGTTTTTGCTTTTAATGTCTGTGGGCTTTTTATTAACTTTACCATTTCACTCACAGTTTACAGTGTACAGAGAATAGCTGGATGCTGTTTGGTCTGTATTTATTGCTGATCATTGCCCTTAGTTTTCTGACCATCTTGGTGTCATTCCTGTCACTGAATATCACTGATTCCCATCGCTGTCTCTGTCACTCCTGCTAGAGACAAATCGTCCTGTTTCTGAGGATTTCCTAATGTCATCAGAGAAATATTTAGTTATTTCTGAATCTGGAATGTTTTCTGTCACAGTGGAGACCTTGGTCGTTGTGCCCCAAGTTGGCCCAGCTGACAGGCATATTGCGTGATGATTACCTTTGGAGAAGCAGTTAATATAAAATGAATACATCACATGCAGAATTATTTTTCATTTGTGTTTCCATTATAGAGATGATGATGACATCAATGATGTTGCCTCTATGGCTGGTGTTAATCTTAATGAAGAAAGTGCCCGAATTATGGCTACCAACTCTGACCTGGTTGGAACGCAGATACAGTCCTGTAAAGATGAACCCTTTCTTGCTGCTATACCTCTACATAAACGCATACTTGAAATGGGTGAGAAACATAGCCTTTCCTTTTCATAGTGTTTCCTTTGGAATTACGCAGTTCTGAGTAACAGAATGTGCTTAGCGCTTACGATTGGTGTAAGTAAGGTTCTTTAAGAGTTTTATTACATAATCTTGTATTATTAAACTTTCAAGGCTTTTGTGCTAAAAAGAACTTAGCTATCTGAAATTGGAATAAAATAATATTTTGGTACTCTTATACTTCATGTTTTTTCCTATGCCTTTTATATCCAAGGATCTCAAAGCTCTTTGCAAACATTAATTATTTCTCACAATCCTCCTTCATGTTCTACACATGTGAAGATTGAAACAGAGAGGTAAAGTAAGTAGTTCAGGTCACAGAGGACACCTGTGAAGAAGATTTAACAGAATGCTGAAGTTATCTGTCAAGATTTTTTCCCCATACAAACCAGTAATTCAGTTTTAATTCCTGCATCTGTTTAAGTTCATAGTGATTTTTCTGTAGCGTTTTTTCAAATAGGTGTATTTATTTATACTGCCATTTGAAAATGGAAGTTAAAAATTTTAGGAGGAAAAAAAAACTAGTCAAAATTAGTGATATCTTAGAATTAATAAGTATACTCAGAATGTATTTTGTATGACATACTTCATTAATATATGTTCTGGTTCCAAAGAGTATCTATTTCATAATAATGTTGGTAATATTTTCAAAGACATCAAAATCTTAAGATACAAAGCTCTAAGAGTTTAGCATCGTATATCACATTTTTCTAGAACCGTACTTATATCAATATTTATATTTGTGAAATTTTTTAGGGAATTAATTGTCCACATAGCTTTAAATATATTACCAAAATCTTGATAAAAATCTGTTCAGTTAGGCTATTAAGTCATGCAGGGTACTCCTGAAATGTTATTTATGTTCATGTTCAGTGAACTAATGGAAGCCCTTTTACATTGCAGTTCTTCATTGACTTACTCTCCAGCTTTACTTTTTATTTTAATTGGTGTCCTTTTAAGTTGGAGTCATTCTGAAAAGTGAATTGTTTTGCATGCTCTGCTTACCATGTTGCAATGATATGATGGCGTTCTGTGACATTGGTCTGAGTAAACATTTGTGCAACGTTTTTGAGATGGCTACCGCCACTGAGATAGGAAGCCAGAAAGATTTAAATGAAGGGCTTTTGAAAAACTCTTGTATGGGATGCTCGCGTAGTAGTTCATGCAGGTGTAAGAAAACAAAAAGGAAATAGACATAAAACTGTTAAAAAGAGTGGGAAATCAGTAATGAATTTGCCATATAAGCCTTAATGAACTGTCTGGGTATAACAATCGCTGCACAACATGAAGCTCTGATTACAAGCGTAGGACTTAACCGGAATCTGTACATTAAGAGCCACAGAACCCATCACACTATTTGTCATTGCCTTTTGGGGTTTGCTCCTCTGAGGAACAAATCCCTATGGCTGTTTTTGAAGCTTTATTGACTTTGATAATTGAAATGAAACTGTCAAAGCTTTTAAAAGCAGCTGCAGGGATTTACTTCTCAAAAGCAGGGAATCCAAAAGAGCGGCCACTCCTAGTGATCTCCTGCAGCCACTTTTAGAGCTTTATTTTGGCTTTATAGGAAGCCTTTTATAGCTTTGAAAGTGGCTGTGGGGTTCACTGGTGGCTACTATCTGGGATCTATGACTCTTGAGTAGAGAATTCCTACAGCTGATTTTGAAGCCTTAGAAGCTCAGTTTTCACTGTGTGTGGCCAGGTTTGTTGATTGCATAGGACCACACGCATTCAGTATTTTGTGGTACTGGGCACTTAAAATAACGACATTGTGAGATCACGACAAAACTCAGTCTTACCGTGTGTTGCTGTGCCTAGACACCAGAACTAAGGAAAGGAGGCTGTGACCTTCTCAAGCACACTAGGAAAAAGAAAGTATGTTATGTGAGTCCTCATTCTTCTGTTTTAATGTTGTGCCTGTTGACAGATGAGATAAAACACGTTGTTTCTTCTTCTCACCTTTTTTTTTTTTTTTTTTTTTAACCTGAATATGACTTAAGCAGGACTTATTGTCTACCTTTAAAACTGTTCCTATTTAATAATCACTTTAGTTTTAGGGCACACTGTTAATGTTTTAGTAAAAGAGAGATTTGTGGTATGTACAGTATGAGGAAACTGCTGTTCTCTTCTTTCTCAGGAGTGAGATCTTTTAAGTTTTCTGTAATATTAATCTCTCTTTTCTGAGTAAAAGCTCTGACGAGCAACTCAGTGGTGTTCCCCAAAGGCTGTTTCAGAGATTGTGCTTCCATTCACCAGAGTCAGAATATAAACTGCTGAAGTGAGAGCAGATGCTGTTCAGTCTTTGGCAGTAACCACCAGCCAAATGCCTCAAAGTTATAGTGGAAGAGGTTTCTTAATGTGTTGTACATTCTTATCTCTACAATAACTTGGCAGTATTATCATCCAAAGTTTATTTTAAATCCAAATGAGTAGTATTATTATTGATCCTTTTAAATGGAAGAAGCAACTGAAAGGTAATTCATGCAAAGATACTGACCCATTTCCCACATGCTTTTTTTTTTATCCAATTTTGTATCTTGTCGTCTTTGGTTGGTAATCATAGCCATTTGTTCATGTAGGAAGACAGGGTGGCGACCGCCTCAGATTGTTCTTTGATGCAAAAATCAAGAGTTGATATTTTTTAGCAGACAGTGTATTTCTGTTGCTATTCCATTCAGGATCATGAAACTTTAAACCCTGATCTTTCTACATGACAGCACAGCACAATCACACACATACAAAGAGTTTTTTGTCTTTCTGGGAACTCAGGAGGCAAAAATTGACATTCTTCAGGCAAGTGCATGCTGCTGTGTGTACAAACTTAAACTTTCTAGATCTTTTTGCTCCATTAGTATAACGGTAGTATTTCTTCTACAGGGCAAGATAAACTGGTTAGATCCTCACAATAGCTCCAAATGCCGAATACAGTGCTGAAAAATCCTAGCTTTTTCATTTGTTTGTATAGGAAAGAAAATAGGAAAAATAACCTGGATCGTCTGCAGTTGTTTGTTTCATTTTTATTCATTCTTATGCTTATTTTTGGTGCATAAGAACTCTTACTAATTTCCTTAGGTTTTAGAAGCTAGTTTTTGACATTTTGAGTTTCTACTGTTTACCAAAATGGACAACAGTAATAAATAAACAATATGGCTTAGCAGATTATTTTAAGAGTGACAATTTACTCTGATTTGTATCTGTCTTGGGAAAACAGAAACGCCTTGGCTCGGGAATTACTTTAATTACAGCATTGTTTCTGAGAGCAGATAAGAATTAGGCTATATTGTATCTTATGTTTACTGTTAATGAAAGGTGGCAGGACGTAAGTGAAGATGGCACAAAATATGGCTCTGTTTATATTGCCTGATAATTATATCTATGGAAAATGGGAAGAGATGTAAAAGACAAAGGGGAAAAATACTGTAAAACACTGTTAACAAATCATAACCAAGTAAGAACTGTATTCAACAACAGGAGCAAGGAATATGTTGAATTATTATCCTAATAGTGAACTAACAGAGTCGTTAACCTTGTTCTTTACCCAACTGCAGTGAGTCTATCCTGTACATTTCGTAACAACCCACTTTTTAATAATTTGGGAAAATGCTTTTTTCATCATGTAATACATTTATTTGTGTACAGAAGCCCTGCTGACTATCCTCAATTTTGTCTTTTGTTGATGTTGTCACTCAACATGGTACAGTAGAATGAAATTTATTTTTCCTACATAGGTTGGTTTTTAACATTCTGTTCTGGACACTGGTAGGTCCTTCACTGAGGCATTTTTATTACTGAGAGTTAATGGTCTCTACAACTCTGTTAGCTGTTCCAAAAACGTGGTTCTGATTTTATTTTCAACAGAGCATGATATCTTCACAGGCTTAGAATCTGCAGCAGGATATTAATTCCCACAGCTGTGTTTTAATTCTAACTGATTTCTTCTCTAAGCAGATGATGTAATTTTGCTTTTATTCGGCTATCCCTAAAATGTCACAACTTGTGGAGAACAATAAACTAACTGTCTTAAAGCAAGAGTAATGAAACATAGTATTGGCATACTGTATTCCTTGACTTAGATTGCTTCTTTCTTTCTTTCTTTTCACTTTCAGTGTTTCTCACCTAATTTTTCTACTTCAGTTTTAATTGTTATAGAGCACTGGCTGAATGGAATAAATAAAAAGGTGACATTCTAAGAAATGAAGAGCTGGTTTAGCCACATTAAATCCATTTTAACTGTCCCATCTTGTATTTTCAGATTATTTTTACTTAAATATGTGATAAAAATATATTAGAGAATCATCAATGATTTCTTTTTTATTCTACATTCATTCCAACTTATTTTTATGTCTGCATTAAGAAACTAATTTTTCTCTAGTACGTATGTTTTTCTGAAATACTTTGTATTGGTTATCTGGCATTGTTACAAATTTCCTTTGAAAAAAGTCTCTTACATTGACAAAATAGGAAATGTCACAGGTGTATGCTATCACACAAAATTACTACTGGATTCTCTTGCTTCTTCTGAATAGATTTTTAGACAAGAACACATCCAAAGGCGCAAGCCAATTATCATGAAATTTGAAAATGCATTTTTTTGATGCATCCAAGTTCTCCTAGTCCAGGAATTAAGATGCCTACAGTTATTCTTAAAATGACTTCAGAGTAGCTCAATTGGTAGAGTTAAGCCACTATAACTTTTACATGCCACTGTAACAGCTGTAGTGTTTCATGACATAAATTGCTATAATTTTCAACATAATTTATAGATTTAGCTTTTTGTTATTGCACGTTATGTATTTTTTTAATTCTGCCTGATGAAATACTGATGGTTTTTCTGCCTTGGTTGTATTATTTTCTCATTAACTCACATTTGAATTGCATGTCTACTATAAAAATGTGTTGCTTATCTGTGTTTCTGTATTCTTAAGTATATTTAATCTGCTATGTGGTATCATAGTGGCAGCCCAGTTA